AAAAATCGGGAGATTCGGCTCTGGAATGGGTTTTCATCCCAGATGTGCTGTGGCAAGTTCCTAGAGATTCATCTTGCAGTTCTTGGCTGGGACTCATATCTCCTTGGGCCTCCAGCTCGGAAAGGGTGGTGTCAGGAGACCACTGAGGAGAAAGATCTCCTGGACTGGAAATATAACCTTCCGAGAGAAGCCAGGATCTGCGTTGGGGAGAAAGAAGAGAGAGACACAAAAGAATAAGCTTTGAAATATATAAACGGGGGAAGATCTGGGGTAAGGAGAGGAGGGATGTCAGGAACAAAATGGAGCACGTTTGGCTAGAAACACTGGGACAAAAACTCTGCACAGACTGTACAGCTGGAAGTCTCCCTGCTGCAAATTTTTTCCATGATCTGAATTAGTTAAGTCAGAAGATGCTCCATCTTCAGGGTGATGCCGTCACAGGAAGCCATACGTGGGTGGGAACGTAATGCAAGATGCGCCAAGCATTCAGGGCACAAAGTAGTTGCGTCCTTACACTGAATTTCCATCTTATTATAAATGCAGTGTTTTTCAATAATAATAATAATGATGATGATAAAGTTGGAAGGGACCTTGGAGGTCATCTAGTCCAACCTCCTGCTCAGGCAGGAAACACTATACCATTTCGGACAAATGACCATTTGCAACCTTCCCAGCTGGTGTCTGACAAGCAAAGTCACTTAACAACTGCAAGTGATTTGCTTAACAACCATAGCAAAAAAGATTGTACTAATATATCAAGCACATCTCACTTAACAACCAATTTGCTTAGCAATGGAAATTCTGGTGCCAACTATGGCCATTAATGAAAGACTAATTGTATAATAATAATAATAATAATAATAATAATAATAATAATAATAATAATAATAATAATAATAATAATATAATCATAATAATAAAGTTGGAAGGGACCTTGAGGGTCATCTAGTCCAACCCCCTGTTCAGGCAGGAGACCCTATACCATTTCGGACAAATGGCTGTCCAGTTTCTTCTTAAAAACTTCCAGTGTTGGAGCATTCATTGCTTCTGGAGGCAGGTTGTTCCACCGGTTAATTGTTCTCACTGTCAAGAAGTTTCTCCTTAGTTCTAGGTTGCTTCTCTCCTTGATTAGTTTCCATCCGTTGCTTCTTGTCCTGCCTTCAGGTGCTTTGGAGAATAGCTTGACTCCCTCTTCTTTGTGGCAGCCCCTGAGATATTGGAACACTGCTATCATGTCCCCCCTCGTCCTTCTCTTCGTTAAACTAGACATACCCAATTCCAGCAACCGTTCCTTATATGTTTTAGCCTCCAGTCCCCTAATCATCTTTGTTACTCTTCTCTGTACTCTTTCTAGAGTCTCAACATCTTTTTTACNTTGTCAAGCAAATCATTGCAACTGTTAAATGAATCACATGTGTTGTTAAGCAAGTCGGGCTTCCCCCACTGACTTTGCTTGTCAGTAGGCAGCTGGGAAGGTTGCAGATATCAGTCACAATATTCCAGGATGCTACAACCATCGTAAATACATGAAGGATGCCAGGTGTCCAAAATCTGATCATGGGACCCAGGGGCATTGTGACAGTCATAACTGCGAGGACCAGTTGTTGTAAGTCACTTTTTTCAGTGCCATTACAACTCTGAAGGGTCACTAAATGTATTTGTATAAGCCAAGGGCTATCCCCTTCAAACTGAACTCGACTTCTGGTGACTTTCATTGTACCACTTTTAGGATATGGCAATATTTGAGTACCACGTCAGCTAGCAAGGTGTCAAAAACTTGATGACCAAAAAAAAAAAAAAAGGAAAAAAGTGATAAAGTACAGGTAGTCCTCGACTTACAACAGTTCGCTTAGTGACTGTTCAAAGTTACAATGGCACTGAAAAAAGTGCCCCCCAAGCCACAGCCGAGCAAGACGCCTGCCCACCCAGCGCTGCTCTTCCTCCTTTCCGAGGTTTTCATTGTGAGCATTTCTGTTGAGGATTGGCAGTGGGGGTGGGGTGGGGGGGTGTTTGGTTTTTATTCCCCCCGTCTGCTGGGTGGTTGCAGCAGGTTTTGGTTACTTCACATGACCCTGGGACACTGTGACCATCATAAATATGAATCAGTTGCCAAGCATCTGAATATAAATCACAAGACCCTGGAGATGCTGCAACATTCCAGCTCATCAGCGCTTCTTCTGGGCTCAGCAGAAGCGCCAGGATCAGCGCCGAGCTCCAGCTGGAACCTGGCGCTGATCCTGGTGCTTCCACTGAGCCCTGACAGTCTCGAAGAAGCGCTGATCCTGGCACTTCCGCTGAGCCCTGACGGCCCTGCAGCTCCAGCCATCTCTTGCTCAGGCTTGTGCGGTGTTGCCACCGGTTCAGCTCATTCCCCTCCCCCGCTACCACTTTTCTAGGATGGTCACGTACCACCTGCCAGGTACCAATGTACCACAGGTGGTACCCGTACCACTGGTTGAAACACCCTGCCATAGACATCTCACTTTGTAACAGAAATTTTGAGTTCTATTGTGGTCATTAAGTCGAGGACTATCTGTACAATGCTTCTTATTGGAACCGAAGCCCAACGTGGCCAATGACCGTGAGGCAGCGGACCCAACACATCTGAGTTAAGTTGTAGTCCAACCCATCTGAAGCTGTTGAATAGTCCCTGCACCCAGATGGCCTCCAGGCAAAACCAAATTTACCTTAGGCTCTGAAAGCTGGAACTCTCTGCTCCTGGCAGGGCCTGCTCTCCTCGGCGCCCCTCAACAGGGAAGTCAAACGATGCTGCATCTTTCTCGTCTTCATGTTCTTCCTCCTCCTCCTCCGCTTGTTCCCGGCCCGCCCACTGGCCCTGGGCTGCCAGCCTGCCAACCAGCAAGGGCACCAGTCCTCCGGCCTGCAGCATCTCCAGGGCTTCCTCGTCGTAGAAAAAGGCCACAAAAGCCACCACCACCCGAGCGTGCGAATAGCTGTGACACTGGTCCCGCAACAGGGAGAGCAGTAACTCTAATCCTCCGGTCTCACGGACCCGGCTCCGATTCACAGCCTCCCGGCACAGGAGGCACAAAGCTTTCACCAGCGGATGGAGGGAGGCCCCGGGCGCCCTGGCGCCCCTCCGTCGTTGGATCTCCCCCACTAGCAACTCCACCCCCCCAGCGTTGCCTATAGCTGGCCTCAGCATGCCCTGAAGGCAGAGGTTGGCGAGGACCGCGAGGGCCGATTCCTGCACCACCCGTTTCTCGTGGCCGGCTAAGGTTACGAGGGGCGCCACCCCGCCTCCCAAGCTGAGCTGCTCCGCACAGTCACGACTGCAGCCCTTTGTCAGCTCCACCAGGGCGCGCACCACGGCTGCAATCAAGGGCCCGTCCTCCAGGGAGGAAACCAAGCGCTCCGCTATGGGGCGGACTGCCCCCTGCTGGGCCAGCGAAAGACGATGAGCAGGAGTATCGGCCAGGTAGCGGATGGCCCTGATCACGCTCTGCAAACATTCGCTGTCCTGGGAGGTGGTGAGGACCTGGATCAGCTGGGGCACGGCTCCTGTAAGGCAAATATTTAGGAAGTGAGAATATGGCAAGAAAGAGAAGTCCGGTCACAAGATTCTACATCGGCTAAACATGAGTCAGCCAGATATATTTCCAGATGCCTCAATTAGCATACATTTCGGTTTATTTTTAGGGACTCCGCGTTTTATTGACTGCTGTAATCAAGCAGCGTTCAAAGGTACCATGTTAACCAAGAGCGCCTTGCTCCCGTCTACCTGTCAAACCAATTGCACTAACTACGGCTATACAGTTTATTCTCCGCTTTAAAATAAAGCAGCAAAAAAGAAAGTCTTCCATTACAAAATCTACTAGGGATCTGTCAGGCCTCCACCATTTTAGCCTTCTGGAAGGCTTTGAAGAGCTGACTGTCTCCCCAAGTGCTGGCCTTGGGAGAGGAGTCCAGCAAACACACAGGGAAATATCGTCTATGGGGTGCCTGTAAGATGCTTTCGATTTTAATATTCTTGTTTTATGTTTTATAGCTGTACCCAGCCACGCGTTGTTGTGGCTCAGTCTGGTAAAAGCGTGTGTTGCTTTTACGTCCAACAGATGGCGCTGTTTATTTTTAAAAAGCATGTTTTTACCTGTCACAGGTGTGACATCTATATAATAGTAGGTATATAAAAACACGCACGTATTTGAATGCAACGTTGTGTCAAAATTTCAAAGCAATCGGTGAAGAACTTTCGGAGATTTAAGATTTTGAACAAACGAACATTTACATTTTTATTTATATAGAAGACTAGCTGTACCCTGCCACGCGTTGCTGTGGCTCAGTCTGGTAAAAGCGTGTGTTGCTTTTACGTCCAACAGATGGTGCTGTTTTTTTTTAAAAAGCATGTTTTTACCTGTCACAGGTATGACATCTATATAATATAGGTATATAAAAACACGCGCGTATTCGAATGCAACGTTGTGTCAAAATTTCAAAGCAATCAGTGAAGAACTTTCGGAGATTTAAGATTTTGAACAAATGAACATTTACATTTTTATTTATATAGATAGATAGATTGCTGCCCAGCAGCCCAGGATTACAGTACCGCAAGATGGGCAGTTACGTAAGCCTTTTAAATAAATAAATAAATTCTGCTCTGGTTTCTATTGACATCACCCCCCCCCCCCAGTGGAACTTTGACAAGAGTAATTTGGAATTTGATGGTAACTCATTTGAGTTACCAATGAAGTGACACCACCAGCAACTCCCCATCCTGCAAATTCTTATATGAGAAGAGAGCTCTGGATTTTCATCACAGTGCAGAGATGCTTAACATATCCCTGCTTTTAATTTACAACCTGTCCGCAGAGCGTCACATCTGACCACCCTATTAATTGCAAAGGTTTTACTATGTTAAATGAATTCCACTAAGGAATGTTTATATATGTACGATGCCCTTCAGAGTTTGCACCAAATATTATTAGGAGAATATATAAAATGTATTTTTTTTTTACTATTTCGAGCCCTCAGAATAGCCAAGCATATTATACATGCTAAAGGTGTACAACAGAATTGATAATTATCTGGATAAGTATTTGGAGGAGTAAATTTCATTTAATGGGTTAAAAAGACTTTTGATAGATATAGACTGCTTGATAGAATATATATTTAAAATAGATAGAAATGTATTTTTTTTGGATTGATATTTTTATCTTAAGTAAGGTAATTATTTTGTAATAGAAGGAGAAGAAGAGGGAATTGTGATAAGAGAAGAAATGGTATTAATAAATGATTTATTAGATTAAGAAATAGGTTGTATGTGGAAAATATAAGAATGTTGTTGTTGGAATAATATATTTATCCTAGATAGAATTATTATGCTAGGGAAAAGGGCAAATGAGGGATACCCAAAATGTTAATAATATGTCTATTTAAGCTCAATTGGAATATGGTAACTGTAAATGAGCAAAGCTTAAAAACAGGACTTGGATTTTTTACAATTGAAATGTGATTTATGACTGATCTGATCGATTGCACTCTATTTAGAAATGTATTAATGTGAATATGTAACACTATATGTGGGAAATAGAGAGGGAATTCTTAATGAACTAATCTAAGTTATATATGCATGATTTTGCTTTTGAATAATTGATATCCCCATCACCACGTTGTTTCTTAAGCACTTTGATGTAAAAATGAAAAAACCAATAAAATTTCTTATATAAAAAAAGAATTGATAATTATCTGTGTATTTGTAAGGGGGAGTTGAGAACGGAGGGGGGGGACATAAATTTGTCTGGGGGCGCTGATACTGAACACAGAATCTTTATCCACTGTGCCATATTGACTCCAAGCAATTAATAGCTCTGAACCTCTGTGTGTGTGTGTCATGTGTGTTCATGACGGGGAGAGGGAGGAGGAAAAAGTTCATCTAACAATGTTGGAAAATAAACTTGAGGTGATGGTTCAGAAAGTGAGAAAGATAGCTGTACCTCCTAGGTCACAGATAGTCCTCACTGACCAAACACAATCAGAACCAGCAACTCTGTTGCTAAGCGGCACGGTCATTAAGTGTGACCTTATGCGACCACATCAACTAACATCAATTTCAGCTGCAGTCACTCAGGAAATTGTACCTGCGGTGACTAAACACAATTTAACAACTTCCTGCTGGCTTCCCTATTGACCTTGCTTATCGGAAGCCAGCTGTGAAGGTTGCAAAGGGTGATCACATGACTGTGGGATGTTGCAACCGTTGTAAATGTTCACCAGTTGTCAAACACCCAAATTGCAATCATGTGACCTCAAGGGAGTGGCGATGGCCACAGCTTTGAGGACTGGTCACAAGTCTCCTTTTTCAACATTGTCATAACTTCAAACTCACTGAATGAGTGGCTGGTAAACGAGGACTTGTGTGTGTGTGTGTGTGTGTGTGTGTGTGTGTAAATACATACACATACTACAAATCTCAGTTCTACACTTACATAGATCCTACCCTTTCCCCCACCCAACCCCTGTTCAACCTGCTTCATGGATGGCCTGGCAATTTTCTAAGTCTACAGCCAAGTTGCCGAGTGCTCGTGCTGTCCGATTCAGGATACTTTCCACAGCCAGTGACTTCAGGATAATAACTAGAAAGAGAAAATGGAGAAAGGTAGCAATTTGATAATCCAGTTGTAAAACCACAACATCTTTAAGAGAAGTAGTTGTCTTAGCTAGTTGCATTGGAGGGGGGAAGAGTTTTGTGGCACTTCAAACTACATTTACCTTTTTTATCGCTTTCTGCTAAGAGGCAGGCACTTCCAGGATGAACAACAGTTTGGTGTAGTGGCCAGATTAGAAACTGAGTGATTGTGAGGGAATCTTAGGCAAAGAAATCAGCTGGGCAACTTTTGGCCATTCCCTCATTTCACAGGGTTGTTAATCATGGGGAAAATGGGACAAAATAGCATTATGTATGCTGGCTTAAGCTGTAAAAAATAAAAGCAGGCTATGCATCTAATTTAGAGATAAATACAAGCTTCCTACATTTTACATGTTACATAATTACACCATGTGATAAGAGAGATTTCGTGGCTTCGGGGTGGATTTCCATCAGTACGCTGATGATACTCAGCTGTACATATCCACCCCGGGCCACCCCAATGATGCCCTTGACGTGATGGCCCGGTGTCTGGAGGCCGTGAGGGTCTGGATGGGGAGGAACAGACTCAGGCTCAACCCGTCCAAGACCGAGTGGCTGTGGCTACCAGCGCCTCGGCATAGTCANCTTAAGAATGCAAGATACGACATTTAAGAAATGAGTTTTACTTCTAGCTGACATTTTCTCTTAAGACTAAGGGGGAAAGCCTGAGGTTTCACCTTGACCACTTCCAACAGCCAGAAGCCCTTGTTAAGGTTATCATCCTTTTGCACTCAAAGGTTACACACCATCGGATTTAAGGGGGCATAAAACTGATTTCCTCCCCTCCTCTCCCCCCAGTGGGCGCCCTGATTTGAGAAGGAAGCCCCACCCACAAGAGGGGGGGGGCTCGGCTTAATGGGAACAGCGGTCTCCCCCTCCCCACCAAGGCTGCATCTTCACTCCTTGGCAAGCCAAGAGGCCCTTCCCCGAGCCCCTACCGATGCCGCCGACTTCAACTCCCATGATCCCGTTGCAGCTCGCCCATCGGCCTAGCTGGCTGGGAATCATGGGAGTTGAAGTCCAAGACGTGATCAGGCATCAGGCTACGACGGGAAGGGTTGAAACAGCCCCACCCCCTCCAGAAATACTTGGGGGGGGTGAAGAGGGGCTCTTCCTTAGCCGTACCCCCATTCTACCCCCCTATACACTTTCTGCACTCACCTAGCGGCGGGATCCCCCCAAGTTCGCGCACCTGGGTGCGGCTGCCCCCTTCGGTGCAGCAGTTGCCCAGGATGCTGAGGGCCAGGTCCAAAGTGCGGCGCGGTCGCGGGGAGCCGGAGAGGATCCCCAAAAGTGGCGCCAGCCCCCCGTGGCTCCGGAAACGGGCGATGCCTCCCGTCTCCTTGATGTGCTGGGTCCGGAGGGCAAACAAGGCCTTGCCCAGCCCGGGCTCGGTCCCCCTCTGCAACTGGGCCAGGCAATAATCTAGGGAGCCATTGGGGGTGCAGGCTCCACCCCCCGAACCCCTTGAAGCAGGAGCCGCCATCTTGGGGAGAATCCCCTTCCTAAGGGCCGAGGGAGGGTAAACATCAAAGGACGGGGGGCGGTGCACGCCGGGAGTTGTAGTCCTCCGCCCCCCAAGAAAAAAGGGGAGAGGCTACCGGTCCCGGGATTGATCACACAGTTCCAAGCTTGGCTGGGGAAGGAGTGATGCATGACGGTAGCTGTAGTTCCTACCTCGTCCTTTGTGATAAATAGCGTTAAGAGGAAGGACCGCAACTTCCATAGGGCTATGCGCCAGCAAATGGCAGGCGTCAACGTGGGCAGAGCAAAGGATGACGGGAACTAAACCGTATCCTACAACTCCCATTGAAATCCTGGTCTTGTCAAAACTGGGCGGGGTGGGGCGGAGAACTGCATTTTGGGAGTAGTAGTTTTACTGGTAGGCTAAATGGGAATAAATAAACCGTATACGTGTGGATTTTTGCTGTGATTTTTCGTGTCCTGGAGAAAGATGCAAAAGTGCGTATCCGTTTTTGGGAACCCGTTGCAAGACTCAGAAAACCCACGAACATTAATATTTATTAATTTTATTAATAAAATTTAATTTTTAATTTTATTATTTTAAGATGACCAACTTTTTTACAAATGAGAAGGAGGACACAAATAAATTGAAGAAAAAAAGTGAGTCTAATGTGTGCATGTGTGCTGTGTGGTGTTTCAGTAAGAAGTAAACAAAGCCACTTGTGTGCGGTGCACTCTTGTGTGCAGCGCACTTTCTCAAAACAATTCTGTGCGGAGCGCATGCATCTCATAATTGCATCTCGCTGCATTGTACCGAGCCTTGACGAATCGTCATGTCAAATACAAATACGTCACATCACACGCAACGGATCGGCTCGGTATCGATCGAATACGGAGATTTACAGATTAGTCTTCAAATATCAAAAAGGAGGACATGTAGGAGGACACTTTTCGAGAGAGGACAGAACTTACAAAAGAAGGACTGTCCTCCCTAAAGGAGGACGATTGGTCACCTTAATTATTTTATAATACACATTTTATATTAATATTTTAATGCTGTTTTGAAATATAATATATTTCGGTACTAGGTGCTGTGTTTAAATTGCAGTTAAATTACACAGCATGCACAGTGATGTATAGAACACTGTAAGCAAAATTTTAAAAGGAATGCAAAAAAAAAAGGAAGACAGCCCTCCCTTCAAAAATTTAAAGCTCAAATCAGCCAACATTCCTCCCCTCTTCCATCCCAGACTTGTATTGGATGACCAGGGAACTGATTGATTTTGGAACTAACAAATTTGCATGGCCTGAGACTGGGGAGAAAAAAACTGAATAAAATTAAGATAGGTTATCACAAATTGTGGCAAGTTCTTAAAGAGATGGGAGTACCAGACCATCTTATTTGTCTCCTGAGAAACCTATATGTGGGTCAAGAAGCAACAGTGAGAACTGGACACGGAACCACTGATTGGTTCAAAATTGGGAAAGGAGTCCGGCAAGGCTGTATACTGTCGCCCTGCCTTATATGTAGAGCACATCATGAGAAAGGCAGGGCTAGATGAATCAAAAGTTGGAATTAAGATTGCCGGGAGAAATATCAACAATTTAAGATATGCAGATGATACCACTCTAATGGCAGAAAGTGAAAAGGAACTAAAGAGCCTCTTGATGCGGGTGAAGAAGGAGAGTGCAAAAGTTGGCTTGAATCTCAACATTTAAGAAAACCAAAATCATGGCATCCGGCCCTCTCAATTCCTGGCAAATAGATGGGGAAGAAATGGAGGTAGTGGCAGATTTTATTTTCCTGGGCTCCAAGATCACCTCAGCCAAGAAATTAAAAGACGCTTGCTCCTGGGGAGGAAAGCTATGGCAAATCTAGACAGCATACTAAAAAGCAGAGACATCACCCTGTCAACAAAAGTGCGTTTAGTCAAGGCCATGGTTTTCCCAGTTGCAATGTATGGATGTGAAAGTTGGAACATAAGAAAGGCTGAGCGACAAAGAATTGAGGCCTTTGAACTATGGTGCTGGAGAAGACTCCTGCGAGTCCCTTGGACTGCAAGGCGTTCAAACTGGTCAGTCCTAGAAGAGATCAACCCTGACTGCTCTTTAGAAGGCCAGATCCTGAAGTTGAAACTCAAATACTTTGGCCACCTAATGAGAAGGAAGGACTCACTGGAGAAGGGCCTAATGCTGGGAAAGATTGAGGGCAATAGAAGAAGGGGACGACAGAGAATGAGGTGGCTGGATGGAGTCACTGAAGCAGTAGGCGTGGACTCCAGAAGATGGTAGAGGACAGGAAGACCTGGAGGAATATTGTCCATGGGATCGCGATGGGTCGGACACGACTTCGCAATTAACAACAACAACAACATCCAAGGAGGTCCTTCCATCAGATATAGAGTAGGCAGGCACTTCAGAAAATCACCAAAAAGCAACCAAGTGTTTTGTTAGTACAACAGACTTACAACTTGACTTACAACAGTTTGTTTAGTGACCATTCAAAGTTACAACGGCACTAAAAATAATGACCTATAACCATTTTTATACTTACGACCATTGCAGGATCCCCACGGCCAAGTGATCAAAATTCATGCACTTGGCAACTGCCTCATATTAATGATAGTTGCAGTGTCCCGGGGTCATGTGATCACCTTTTGCGACCTTCTAATAAGCAAAGTGAATGGGGAAGCCAGATTCACTTAACAACCATGTTACTAACCTAACAACTGCAGTGATTCACTTAACAACTGTGGCAAGAAAGGTCGTAAAATGGGGCAAAACTCACTTAACAAATGTCTCACTTAGCAACAGAAACTTTGGGCTCAGTTGTAAGTCAAGGACTACTTGTATTGTTAAAATATTTCTCAGGGAGCGTGAGAAGTTGAATATATTTTTTTCTCTCAATTCCCAATATTTACATTAGGTATTATGCCCTTTGATAGGAAGAGAAGGTGGGCTTTCCTTCATTTCCTCAAATTTCAAGTGTTAGAGCAGGGGTAGTGAACCTTGGCTCTTTTATGACACGTGGACTTCAACTCCCAGAATTCCTGAGCCAGCTGGCTCAGGAATTCTGGGAGTTGAAGTCCACGTGTCATAAAAGAGCCAAGGTTCACTACCCCTGTCTTAGAGCAAGGCAGGGCAGAGGGAAGCCTAAAGAGACAGAGACAGAAATAGTAAAGGAGGAAAACCTTGGTGGTGCAATCTGGCACATAATTGCCAATGATCATATGTGTTCCCACCGTCTTTACTTGGAGGAGCCCAAACCAGCCCAGCAATTTGTCAGGACAAAGAGTCTTCTCTAGGGAACTCCAGCAGATCAATTTCTCTGAACTTCTATAGTCCTGTTGGATTATAGGAATTGGGTATGTCTAGTTTAATGAAGAGAAGGACGAGGGGGGACATGATAGCAGTGTTCCAATATCTCAGGGGTTGCCACAAAGAAGAGGGAGTCAAGCTATTCTCCAAAGCAACCGAAGGCAGGACAAGAAGCAATAGGTGGAAACTAACCAGAGAGAAGCAACCTAGAACTAAGGAGAAACTTCCTGACAATTGGAACAATTAATCAGTGGAACAACTTACCTCCAGAAATTGTGAAAGGTCCAACACTGGAAGTTTTTCAGAAGAGATTGGACAACCTTTTGTCCGAAATGGAATAGGGTTTCCTGCCTGAGCAGGGAGTTGGACTAGAACAGGGCTTTTCAACCAGTGGTATGGGTACCACCTGTGGTACATTGGCACCTGGCAGGTGGTACGCGACCATCCTAGAAAAGTGGTAGTGGGGGAGGGGAATGAGCTGAATTGGTGGCAGCACCACACAAGCCTGAGCGAGAGATGGCTGGATCTGCAGGGCTGTCAGGGCTCAGCGGAAGCGCCAGGATCAGCGCCAGGCTCCAGCTGGAGCTCGGCGCTGATTCTGGTGCTTCTGCTGAGTCCTGAAGAAGCACCAATCAGCTGGAAAGCAGCACTGATCCTGGCACTTCTGCTGAGCCCAGAAGAAGCGCCGATCAGCTGGAATGTTGCAGCATCTCCAGGGTCTTGTGATTTACATTCAGATGCTTGGCAAATGATTCATATTTATTACGATCACAGTGTCCCAGGGTCATGTGAAGTGACCAAAACCTGCTGCAACCACCCAGCAGGCAGAGGAAATAAAAACCAAACACCCCCCCACCCCACCCCCACTGCCAATCCTCAACAGAAATGCTCACAACAATGAAAACTTCGGACAGGAGGAAGAGCGCCACCGGACGGGCAGGTGTCTTGCTCGGCTGTGGCTTGGGGGGCACTTTTTTCAGTGTCATTGTAACTTCGAACAGTCATTAAGCGAACTGTTGTAAGTTGAGGACTACCTGTACTTTATCACTTTTTCCCTTTTTTTTTTTGGGGGTCATCAAGTTTTTGACACCTTGCTAGGCGACTGGAGGTACTCAGATGTTGCCATATCCTAAAATTGGTAGAATGGGTGAAAAGGTTGAAAAGCCGTGGACTAGAAGACCTCCAATGTCCCTTCCAACTCTGTTATTCTATTGTGTTATTCCTACTTATATCCTGCCTCAAAAGACTGCTGAGTCAAAGTAAGGATACTGGTACATCAGGATGGTAAGAATCTCCTTGGTGGAGGCCTCTCCCTTGCGGGGATCAGCTTCCTTGCTAGAGAACTGGCCTCATCTGGAAGTCTAGAGGCATTTTTGCTTTCTGTGTGGAAGGGATGTGGGGGACATTCAATCAACAGAGGGTTGATTACAGTGTAAACTCACTCTGCAGCACTGGGAGGGAGCAGGGGAAGAGTGTCCCCAAGAGAGAACAACCACACCTTTCCTAAAAACACATTTATCAGATCATCTCTATCAACTGGACAATCAAAACAAGTTTTGGCTAAACATTAAAGAAGAATGGAGCTTAGGGGAACTGTTTTTCAAACTTCCTCCACCATTGTGTTGAGTTCAGACACACAGAGGAATGTAGCTTGAAGGACATGTTCGCGTATACACCTCTTATCAAGCCACTTGCTTCCTCTCA